GTCGACGGAATACCTACGTGTGATCACTCGAGTGCGCTCCATATTCTCGCCATATCGACGCGCGCCAAAAACACACGCTGTCAAACAAAACCCCACTTTGCCGCCGCCACGTCTGATCACATTCTGGTGCGTGAAATTGCACCGGCGTGAAAAACCATGCCTCCCCCCCGCGTTATCTGGCCTGTGTGATCGGGGCCGGTGATAATCTGGTCTCAGGCACTTTGTTGATGCAGGAAAAGTGTGCTGTTATTTCAATTAAGATCTCAGTACTGGCCAGATCTGCCAGTGATCCGTTACTTCTGACCTCTTGGGGTTTTTTCCGCAGGCTTTTTCTTTTACCCGGCAAATCACATTAACAGCCCGGCTTCTCTGACTTCACACTTTGTCATTTCGTTAAGCGCCAACATCAGACAAGCCGCCAGTGCCTTGTGGCTGCCCGCCACCTTTAGAGTAGCTGAGGGAAGCTGGGAGTCCCTCGTCCCCCAAACAAGTGACAAAATGGATCCAGATGTAAAGAAACTTTCCATGCTCCCAAGCGTTGGGTTTCCCGAAAATATCATTGGAAGGGATTAAATTCGCTATTTGCGAATGGACGCGGCGAAGAAAAACAAACATAAAGCCGCCCCGGGGAGCTGGGAATGAGTCTATCCTTGCAGCTAGCCTCCTTTTCGAAGGGTTGACATTTTCACCGAACGAAAACCCGCCACTTGCACAGAAGGGGTCTGGAGGAGGAAAACAGAAGGATGAAGGGTTCCAACTCCACTGTCTCGGCCGTCTTTCCCAGCAACGGACTGGTGCAGATTTGTCAGGAAAGATTTTTTAAAGGAAAACAAAAGATTGACTGTTTTTAAGCCGCTGTTTCGCTTTAATTAGTTAATATCCTAATTAACTAATTAATGTCCTTCACTGACAGTTTTCAAGAAGAGGCTATAGGATATAGGGTATTCGTATGTACCCCCCCCCATGGCATTGGCCAATTAGGCACCCTCCCGCACGTGTGATAAGTCAGGCAACCGTTAGGCAGCTAAAGCTGAGAACTCGGAGTCTCTCACGGTACACAGGAGCCCTCCAGACAACACAACCTCCTCCTGCACATCTGTAGAGATAAGCGTTTCAGCAAAGGCATAACGAGAGGGATAGGAATGCAATAGCAATTAACAAGACACAGAATGAACTCCCCCACCCCCATGGCAGCAGAGCTGACACTGGTCCTGCATTGGGCAGGAGGTTGGACTAGATGGTCTGTATGTCCCCTTCCAACTCTGGGAGTCTGTGATACCCCACCTTTCTCCCCCATGGGGCCTCAGAGTGGCTTACATCATTCTCCCCTCCTCCAGTTTATCCTCACAACAACCCTGTGAGGTAGGTTAGGCTGAGACTGTGCTACTGGCCCAAGGTCACCCAGCAAGTTTCTATGGCAGAGAGGGGATTCGAAGCTGGGCCTCCCAGATAGTAGTCCAGCACTTTAACCACTGCACCATGCTGGCTGTCGAATGGTGAGCTGCGTTGTCACTCTTCCGAAGTGACCAAACTACCCTCCATCCCTGTTGAGCTCCAGTCTTATAGAGTTGTATTGGCACAGAACAACTCAACAATTTCTTGCTGGACTGTCCCTTTGAGCCCCTTTCAGTCTGTTGCTTCAATTCACTACAGTTTCACTGGTGTAGCTGAAGGGCTGCCTAATCCCATATGAACATACACGACCACTACAGTCACCTTCTGAGTCCTTGCTTTGCATACCCCTCATTTTCTGAGGTTAGATGGGTAGCAAACCGGGAGAGGGCCTTCTCAGTCATGGGCCGGCACCAAAAGAACCCAGGAGAGGGTTTTCATGGCTTTTGCACCAAAACAACACCGAGAAAGGGCCTTCTCGGTCGTGGCGCCAACACAATGCCGAGAGAGGGCTTTCTCAGTCGTGGCACCAAAACAACGCCGAGAGAGGGCCTTCTCGGTTGTGGCACCAAAAAACACCGAGAGAGGGCCTTCTCGGTCGTGGCACCAAAACAACGCCGAGAGAGGGCCTTCTCGATCGTGGCACCAAAACACCGCCAAGAGAGGGCCTTCTCATTCGTGGCACCAAAACAACGCCGAGAGAGGGCCTTCTCGGTCGTGGCACCAAAACAACCCCGAGAGAGGGCCTTCTTGGTCATGGCTACCAAAACCACGGTTCCTTTCCCAGGGATATTCATCTATCCTCTTCTGTCGTTGACTCCCACCAGCATTTGAAGACTTTTTTGTTGTGTCTGGCATTCCCTCAACGATTCCTTCCGGCCTGCCTTATGTTTTCATTATTTTTAATGTGCTTTTGTTATGTATTTCAGGTTTGGTTTTCATTGTTTATATGATGTGTTTGGGGGGTGGGGATGATCAGCTTGTTTGATCTCCAAAACGCTACCACATTCCCATTGGAATCCGCTTGTTTTCTGTTGTTGGTATATTTATAACTCTCGGTCTCTGTTTTCAGCTCAAGAATTTTATCAAGCAAACAATGCGACCATTGTGTGGAACAATGGACTTTAAAAATAGTAAATAGAGGCAGAAGAGGATAGACAAGTGGTTATCTAACTGTTACAACGCATTGCCACGGGGAAGGGGCTTCTTTATTTCTATAACATTTCTGGTGCCATCAGGAGATAACACTGCACTAGGGTTGCCAACCTCCAGTTGGCACCTGGAGATCTCCTGTGATTGGAATTAGAGTCATAGAATCCTAGAGTTGGAAGGGACCTCCAGGGTCATAGAATCACGGAATGTTATAGTTGGGAGGGACCTTGGAGTTCATCTAGTCCAACCCCCTGCACTCTGCAGGAGCATAGCCAAAAGATCGCCGTACAACATACCCAAAAGATGGTCGTCCAGCCTCCGCTTGAAAACGTCCATGAGCTTCTTCGACCGAAGGCCTTGAGCCGTAGCATGAAAGCAACACTTCCAATAGAAACAATAATCAGAGTAGGTTTTTAGACCCCCCCCCCCGCTTTAAGGAGTCTCAAACAGGTTACAGTCGCTTTCCCTTCTTCTCCCCACAACAGACACCTTGTGAGGCAGGTGGGGCTGAGAGAGCTCTGAGAACTGTGACTGGCCCAAGGTCACCCAGCAGGCCTCATGTGTCTCAAAGTGGCTTACAATCCCCTTCCCTTCCTCTCCCCACAACAGGCACCTTGTGAGGCAGGTGGGGCTGAGAGAGCTCTGAGAACTGTGACTGGCCCAAGGTCACCCAGCAGGCCTCATGTGTCTCAAAGTGGCTTACAATCCCCTTCCCTTCCTCTCCCCACAACAGGCACCTTGTGAGGCAGGCGGGGCTGAGAGAGTCCTGGAAATTCGTATAAGCAGGAAGAGAGTATTAATACAATCGATAAAGCAGAGTGTTGTGTTTTTTTTTAAAAAAAAGCGTTTTCTCTCTCGCACAGGTCGGCTGTTATTTAAAGACCCCCAAGTTTCCCATTTGGCTGGTGTGCAGCGAGAGTCACTTCAGCGTGCTCTTCAGCACGCGGAAGGATTTACTTGGGGACTGGAAGACCGAGCGGCGCTTTGACCTGTATTACTACGACGGCTTGGCCAAGGAGGAGATCCTCCTCACAGTCGGTATGGAAACGGAAGCCTTGCGAAATGCCGAGTCGCGGAACTCCTTGCCGCTGGGTTTTGGAAGTGGCTGTGGCACACTGCAAAGCCGTATCCCCTTTCCATCGTGGAGATCAAAAGTCAAATTGGAACCAGTGCTCTTAAGAAATCTCTGTGACGCCTTACTGCTGTACTGAAGCGCTCGATAGCCGGGAGGCTACTCATTGGAAGCGATTTCTTAGAGCCTTGGTTCCAACTTGAATTTTGGTCTCCACAATGGAAGGGAGATGCAGCTTTGAAAAAGAGGACGGATCTGTTATATAAATTTGTCCTAATGAGAGAGAACTGGGACTGGCCCAAGGTCACCCAGCAGTCCTCATGTGTCTCAAAGTGGCTTACAATCCCCTTCCCTTCCTCTCCCCACAACAGGCACCTTGTGAGGCAGGTGGGGCTGAGAGAGTCCTGGAAATTCGTATAAGCAGGAAGAGGTTATTAATACAATCGATAAAGCAGATTGTTATTGTTTTTTTTTTTTAAGCGTTTTCTCTCTCGCACAGGTTGGCTGTTATTTGAAGACCCCCAAGTTTCCCATTTGGCTGGTGTGCAGCGAGAGTCACTTCAGCGTGCTCTTCAGCACGCGGAAGGATTTACTTGGGGACTGGAAGACCGAGCGGCGCTTTGACCTGTATTACTACGATGGCTTGTCCAATCAGCAGGAGGAGATCCGCCTCACAGTCGGTACGGAAACGGAAGCCTTGCGAAATGCCGAGTCGCGGAACTCCTTGCCACTGGGTTTTGGAAGTGTCCGTGGCACACTGCAAAGCCGTATCCCCCTTCCATCGTGGAGATCAAAAGTCAACTTGGAGCCAGTGCTCTAAGAAATCTCCGTGACACCTTACTGCTGTACGGAAGCGCTCGATAGCCGGGAGGCTACTGATTGAAAGAGATTTCTTAGAGCCTTGGTTCCAACTTGAATTTTGGTCTCCACAATGGAAGGGAGATGCAGCTTTGAAAAAGAGGACGGATCTGTTATATAAATTTGTCCTAATGAGAATTTCGGAACTAGTTGTGTTACGTTGTAACCTTGATTTATAGCTCATGATTGTTGCATTGTGAGAGTCTGGGAACTTTGTGTGTTACACTGTCGCTCTGGCTTGGAGCTTTTGACTGTGAACGGAATAGTTCTGTACCAGTTATAAGACAACTTTAATTTATTTTAAAGTATTGACATGAGACTTGTAAATTTCATTCACGGTGTCCATTTTGCGTTTGATAACTGTGACCCCATGGACCAGATCATGCCAGGCCTTCCTGTCTTCCGCCGTCCTCTGAAGTTGGCTCAGTTTCATGTTCGTTGCATCTATGACACTGTCTAACCATCTCATCCTTTGCCGTCCCCGTCTTCTTTGACCTTCAATCTTTCCCAGCATCAGGGTCTTCTCCAGTGAGTGCTCCCTTCTCAGTTGGTGGCCAAAGTATTGGAGCTTCAGTTTCATTATCTGCCCTCCAGGAAACAGTCAGGGTTGATTTCTTTTAGGATTGACTGATTTGATCTTCTTGCAGTCCAAGGGACTCTCAAGAGTCTTCTCCAGCACCATAGTTCAAAAGAATCTATTCTTCGGCGCTCGGCCTTCCTTATAGTCCAACTCTCGCAGCCATACATGACTACTGGGAATACCATTGCTTTGACCATGCAGGGTGATGTCTCTACTTTTTATCATGCTGTTGAGGTTCGCCATCGCTTTCCTCCCAAGGAGCAGGCATCTTTTAATTTCATGGCTGCTGTCACAGTCCTTGAACCATTCCCCTCCCCCCCAAATTTCATGGGATTTGGGGAAACCTGCTCACTTTTAATAAAAAGAGTTGCATAACGTTATCCATCGCCTCCTTCTAAGACGCCAGAAAGATTTTCCCCCCGTACTCTCCTATTGACTAATGCAGGGTTTGCTAAAGATGCCATGGTAACTTTACTTTTCCCCCTATTTTTCTTCCTCACCTACGATCTACGATTATAGTTCCCTCTATCCTCATACTTTCCAGAGTGTGTCTTTGTTCTCTGGTGTGTTGGCATGAGGCAAGCTTTGGAAACTCTCCTTCTCCCCCCCCCCACACACCCACACGGGCCCAACCACACGGGCTCCGGCAGCAGCCAAGTTCACTAAAGCAGCTATTCCAAGAAGATGCCGAGGAGCGGTGGGTGTGCTCCAGTTGAGAGCTGTCATTCAGAGAAGGCGGAATTGTACAGGCAGAGGAGGGACGCTTGGATCTGCGTCCTGCCAGTTTGGTGGTGTGCTTAGGAGCCTGGATTCTAATCCAAAAGAACCGGGTTTGATCCCCCCCTCCACTCCTCCACAGGCAGCCAGCTGGTGTGACCTTGGGTCAGTCACAAGTTCTTTCAGAGCTCTTCTCTTAGGAGCAGTTCTCGGGAGAGCTCGCTGAGCCCCACCTACCTCAACAGGGTGTCTGTTGTGGGGAGGGGAAGGGAAAGGAGTTTGTAAGCCGCTCTGAGACTCCAAGTCAAGGGCGGGGTATAAATGCAATCTCCTCTTCCTCCTCCTCCTCTTCCATTCTCTCCTCCTCCTGTCTGCTCTGGGATCTCATTGATTCCAGATTGATGCAGCGTATACCTCTTCCCCTCCTCCCACATTACCGGAGGGACTGCCGGATTCCACAAAGAGTGATGGCACAGAACTGTAGCAGGTGCGTCAAGTCAACTCGAAAATCTGGTCTCGTGTTTTATTTTATTTACAAAAACTTCTACCCTGCTTTTCTTCCCTCATCAGGGCCACCATGGCGGCTAACTGATTCGTAGACTCACAGAGTTGGAAGGGGGCCATAGAGGTCATCTAGTCCCACCTCCTGCTCAATGCAAGACCAGCCTAGAGCATCCCTGACTAGTGTTTGTCCACCTGCTACTTCAAGACTGCCAGGGAGGGGGAGCGCACCACCTCCCCTGGCAGCCGATTCCACTGTTGCACAACTCTGACTGTCAAACAGTTTTTCCTAATATCCAACCGGTACCTTCCCACCCATGTTCCCTATAAGCTGAGTTCGTGTGAGCTGTCTCGCAGATTTTTTAGCCTCCAGCTCACACAGTTTTGCCTCAGCTCAGGAAGGATGGCTCCAGAGCAAACTGATTTATGCAGCAGCCAAATCGCTGGCTCACAACTTTAACGCCAGTGGCTCACAAAGTAGAATTTTTGCTCACAAGACTCCACAGCTTAGAGGGAGCATTGTTTCCAGCCCTTAATTTAAACCCATTATTGTGAATCCTATCCTCTTCAGAGATTACATAATGAAAACACAGCTTAAAAACCAGTGAAAACAAGCAAAAATTGGAAGATATTTGTCTTGTCTTCATTTCTCCCTGCTGTGAATGAGACCCACGAGTCTTGATGTTTGCATTGTTTTGTTTCTTCACATTGATCAGGGAAGGGGGCATGCAGAAGGTCCCAGGTTCAATCCCTGGCATCTCCAGTCAAAAAGACCAGGCGGGAGGTGATGAGAAAGACCCTGGCTCAGTGGCAGACCCTCTGCTTGGCACGCAGAAGGTCCCAGGCTCAATCCCTGGCATCTCCAGTCAAAAAGACCAGGCAGGAGGGGATGAGAAAGACCCTGGCTCAGTGGCAGAGCCTCTGCTTGGCAGGCAGAAGGTCCCAGGTTCAATCCCTGGCATCTCCAGTTAAATAGATCAGGTGACAGGTGATGTGAAAGACCTCCGCCTGAGACCTTGGAGAGCTGCTGCCAAGTCTGAGTAGACAACAGTGACCTCGGTTGACTCACCTGCCTCACAAGGTGCCTGTTGTGGGCAGAGGAAGGGAGGGCGATTGTAAGCCGCTCTGAGACTCCTTAAGGTACAGAACCGCAGGGTATAAAAACCTCTTCTTCTTCTTCTTCTTCTTCTTCTTCTTTCTTCTTCTTCTTCTTCTTCTTCTTCCTTCTTCTTTCTTCTTCTTCTTCTTCTTTCTTCTTTCTTCTTTCTTCTTTCTTCTTTCTTCTTCCCCACAGATACATCTCAGCCTTTCCTCGAAGACCAAGAGAGTGACCTTACACCTCCATTGGAACACTGCATTAGGACCAAGTAAGTCACATGGGTTGTGGGGCTCTTTCTGTTTCTCGAAATCAGTCTATTACTGGCATCTGTAGAATGCACACTCCCCCCCCCAAAAAAAAAGTATTTTGTGCCTTTGTGCACAAAAACAAGGACGTCTGCAGGCAGCTCCAAGTGGGAGGGGCCATGACGCAGTGGCATAGCCTATGCCAGTGACCCCAAAGTTCATTCCTCGGCATCCCTGGTGAGACAGTGGACCAGGGGTAGCAAAGCAGTGGGAGAATCTCAGCCTCAAACCCTGGAATGCTGCTGCCAGTCAGAGTAGACAATACTGAGCAAAACGTACCACAAGTGGGCTTGGTCTAAAGCAACCATACATGTTTAACGTCACCCAGCAGGCCTCATGTGTCTCAGAGCGGCTTCCAATCGCCCTCCCTTCCTTTCCGCACAACAGGCACCTTGTGAGGCAGGCGGGGCTGAGAGAGCTCTGAGAGAACTGGGGCTGGCCCAAGGTCACCCAGCAGGCCTCATGTGTCTCAAAGTGGCTGACAATGGCCTTCCCTTCCGCTCCCCACAACGGGCATCTTGTGAGGCAGGTGGGACTGAGAGAGCTCTGAGAGAACTGGGACTGGCCCAAGGTCACCCAGCAGGCCTCATGTGTCTCAAAGTGGCTGACAATGGCCTTCCCTTCCGCTCCCCACAACGGGCATCTTGTGAGGCAGGTGGGACTGAGAGAGCTCTGAGAGAACTGGGACTGGCCCAAGGTCACCCAGCAGGCCTCATGTGTCTCAAAGTGGCTGACAATGGCCTTCCCTTCCGCTCCCCACAACGGGCATCTTGTGAGGCAGGTGGGACTGAGAGAGCTCTGAGAGAACTGGGACTGGCCCAAGGTCACCCAGCAGGCCTCATGTGTCTCAAAGTGGCTGACAATGGCCTTCCCTTCCTCTCCCCACAACAGGCACCTTGCGAGGCAGGTGGGACTGAGAGAGTTCTGAGAGAGAAACTGGGATTGCCTTCCTCTCTGAGACATATCAGGCCTGCTGGGTGACCCTGGGCCAGTCCCAGTCCTCTCTGGACTCTCTCAGCCCCACCTGCCTCACAAGGTGCCTGCTGTGGGGAGAGGAAGGGAAGGCCATTGTCAGCCACTTTGAGGCACATGAGGCCTGCCG